GGGGGAGGAGGAGGAGGAGGAGGAGGAGGAGGAGAAGGGGAAGAAGGAGAAGAAGGAGGAGAAGAAGGGGAAGAAGAAGAAGAAGAAGAAGAAGAAGAAGGAGGAGGAGGAGGAGGAGGAGGAGGAGGAGGAGGAGGAGGAGGAGAAGAAGAAGAAGAAGAAGAAGAAGAAGAAGAAGAAGAAGAAGAAGAAGAAGAAGAAGAAGAAGAAGAAGAAGAAGAAGAAGAAGAAGAAGAAGATGATGATCAGGTTATCCTTTGTCAAGCACTGGGGAAATCAGGAGATTCAGGCAGGTCAAGTGAGTTGTAAAGTTTTATTGCAAGCTTAAGCTCTCTGCAAGAATCTGGCCAACTGGCGCTTAAGGGAAATGAGTGGGAGATAAGAGAGGTATTCAAGGTGGGCTGGATTTCTCTTGTGGGTGCGCAGGGACTCGTAGCTGATGACGTGTTTGACCCCCTCCCTCGGGCTCAGCCTGGTCATCTCCTACAATCCCCACCCGTTTCCACCAGCACCATGTTGCACTGCTTTTACCCCCCCCAATGGATACACACCTGGACCAGAAAGTTCTCCCAGGACATCAGGCATACCTTGCTTCCGTTTTTTGTTGACCCGGTATGTATCTGTGTAAAGAAAGAACTATTCATTTATTCTGAGATATCTTACTACGGGTTCAAATCCAGGAAGAAAGGAAAGTAGCTGAGGCTCTTAAGATACAGGAAGTCTTACAACCACCGGCCTGGAATTTCCATTGCAGTTGTTAAATGAGTTGTGCTGAATTTTACGACCTTTTTGCCATGGTCGTTAAGAAAGTCATACGGTTGTTAAGTAAATCTGGCTTCCCCCGTTGTCTTTGCTTTATCGGAGCTGGGAAGGTTGCAAACTGGGATCACATGCCCTTGGAGTGCTGCCACCATCATAAATAGTGTTTTGACCAAGGCTTCCTGAGACAGTAACAATCACACGCTGTTCCCAAAAACTTTGTTTTTATTTCAACGGCTGTGAATTATATGCATTCCCAGCCCGTAATGAGTCCCACACAGTGTATGAATAGTCCAACAGAAGTCTGCCACCGTCTTTCGGGATAAGGCTGATAAGCACCCACCTTTATCTCCCTTGAAATGCTGCCAATGACTAAATTGCCAATTAGCTGTACAAGGCCAAACAGAGCACAAAGTCAACACGGAGCTTCAGATTTTAAACCAACCAGAACGAACGAAGTTGCTTCCTTCAAAGGCTCATGTTCCGCCGCTTTCCCTTTATGTCTTATGAGAGGGGCCAATCATCTCCGATATAATATAATATAAATTTAAATGCTATTAATTGTCAGTGCTGTTGTATTTTATAAGTGCTTAGAAAATATTTTGCTTCATGATCACTGCCTGTTGTATTACTGTCACTTCTAAAGCATTGCTTCTTAAAGTGTGATCTGAGGAGCCCTGAAGTCTCTCAGGATTCAGGAATCCTGAAAACTATTTGCCAGCCTAAGTTGAAAAATAATCTAGAATTAAAATCACTTCCGACAATTCTAAGAAGCAGTAGTGGCATGGGAATGTGTCAATTTTAATGTATAATGGGGTAAAATAACAGTCGATGTAAGTTATAGAATCCAAAAGTTCTTTTTGGTTGTCTCCTATAATTTTTTTTAAAAGATGGGAAGGGTTGCTTCAACTTCAAACCACTTCAAGTCACTAAAGTAATAATGCTTGTCAACCGAGGAGTACCTGCGTCTCCGATTCCTGTCTCACCTGTATCTTTGGGCAGGTAGGTGAACATGAACGGTTCGCTGGAAACGCTGTCTGTCAAGCGACGCAGGTATACCTCCACTTCCACGGGCTCCAGGATGTCCAGGTGTTGGTAAGGGGGAGTCTTAAAAACAATGGCGATCTGCCGATGGACGTCCGCTTGGGAAAAATCAGCTCTGCCCTCCCAAGCATCTTTCCGGAAAATGACAGAGATGTCTTCTGCAAAGTAAAGATGGAGAAGCAACGCTTAGGATGGCTGGGAATCAAATTCAAGAAGAGATAATGAAAGGTAAACATTGCCGGAGAGACATTTGTCTTTTGCAGGAAAGATATAAATATAAGTTAGAGAGTTTTACAATGCAGTTACTCTACTTCTAAGAATCTTAAAGGTATAAGAAGACTTCACTTTCTTCATATGCTTTGTAGCCTTCCTCTCATATCTATCTTGTGTGTGTGTGAGGATAGGTCTTGCCCTAACCTTATCGATCAATTAAAAGATTTTGTTCTTCAAAGCCTCTGCTTAAGTCCATTTCTGGCACATCGTGATCTTAAGTTCTAGCCGGACTTCACACCTCTGACAAGCGAAATCAACGGGGAAGCCAGATTCGTTTAAAAGCCGGGTGACTAACTTAATACTTGGGGTGATTCGCTGAACAACTGTCGCAAGAAAGATCATGAAATTTATTTTATTTATTTCAGGAAAGTTATATGGCTGCATACTTGCCCGGGGCGACTCAAGGCAGCTTCCACAGATATAAAAAACACCATATGAAAGAAATAAAAAGATTAAAAAGAAGAAAAGAATAACCTCCCACCCCAGGAACGACACACATTCATACAAGCCATTTAATGGGCTCCATCCCGCTCTGGGGCAATCCTCACTTAACAACTGTTTCGCTTTCAGGCACAAATGTGGTGGTAAGTCGAGGATTATCTATTTATTGTACCGTGCCAGAGAGGACCTAATTTGATCAAATTGGTAGAATGAAGATATTTAAGACCTCTGTGTCAACTCATAAAATACTTCTGTGGGGTTTTTTAGAGTTGCCAACAGAGAAGGGGAAGCAGTGCAGCAACTTGCAAAAACGAAACTGCATTCCACAAATGTTTTCAAAGATAGTAACTAGATCAGGGGACTCCAACCGTGGCTGGCTGAGGAATTCTGGGAGTTGAAGTCCACAAGTCTTAAAGTTGCCAAGGTTAGAGTCCCCTGAACTAGATGACCGAAGTTTCTGCCGTGTGAAATTCTAACTGGAGAGTATGATGGATGACTCTTGGCTATGGATGTGTCGTCCCATTGGAGAATATGAATTACGATACACCCAGGGGGTGGTGAGGGAAAACCAGGGTCAAGGGTGACAATGAATTTACATGTCTCACAGTCGGCTACACCCAGGCAGTGCCGGACATGTTAACTCCCAATAAATCCTTTTAAAGTTTTGGAAGTTTGACTCAAGACTCATGATGGGGGTAACTGCCAGAATCGTGACACCCTGGAGTTCCTACCCACGTACCTTTCTGGACTTTGTCACAGAGCAAATAAAATTCTTCGCCGCCGGCGCAGCTTCCCTGTTCTTTGTTCATCCGGTAAATTTTGAGCTCCGACGTGTTTGTGGATTCTGTGCGGACAGAAAGCGAAGGATTTTTTTTTAAAAAAAAAAGGTGTCTGGGAAATTTTGGGAGTGGAAGTCCACAAGTCTTAAAAGCTGCCAAGTTTGGAGACCCCCTGGTCTAGGGTCATTCATGGAGGGACAGGAGAGAACCATAGCAATAAATAAATAAATAAAATCCCACCACAATTGTGTGAGGATGCATAAAGTTTCTTTTTTTATTGACCACCGGATAACGACCAACCCTGGCCGTTTTTTTTTTTTTTTTTCTCATAACACGTTTTTCGCTAGAAAGAAAAAAGGCTATTTTCACAGTCTGCAGTCTACTTCTACTTTCCGTTTCAAAACGGAATCACTAAAAATAGCCCTTCTTTAGACCACATTTCCTGATTATTATTTTTTTAGGGTAAAGACAACTCTGCAGAAAATATCAGAAGTCCCCCAAAACAATTAATAAGGGCACCGCAAACAGTATTGCCTTCCTAACTTCTGGCAACTTCAAAATTTATTTCTAACTTGCCCTTCCTTCCTTCCTTCCTTCCTTCCTTCCTTCCTTCCTTCCTTCCTTCCTTCCTTCCTTCCTCTATCCCTTTCTTTCCTCCCTCTTTTTCTCCCTCCCTCCCTCCTTCCCTTCCTTCTTCCTTCCCTCCCTCCCTCCTTTCTTCTCCCTCCCTCCCTCCCTCCCTCCCTTTCTTCTTCCTCCTCCCTCCCTTCTTCTCTCCCTCCCTCTTTCATCCTCCCTCCCTCCCTTTCTTTTTCCTCCCTTCTTCTCCCTCCCTCTCTCTTTCATCCTTCCTCCTTCCCTCCCCCTCCCTTTCTTCTTCCTCCTCCCTCCATCCTTCTCTCCCTCCCTCTCCCTTCCATCCATCCTTCCTCACTCCCTTCCTCCCTTTCTTTTTCTTCCTCCTCCCTCCCTCTCTTCTTCTTTCCCTCTTTCTCTTCCATCCTCCCTCCCTCTCTTCCATCCTTCCTCCCTCCCTCCCCCTCCCTTTCTTCTTCTTCCTCCTCCCTCCCTTCTTCTCTCCCTCTTTCATCCTCCCTCCCTCCCTTTCTTTTTCCTCCCTTCTTCTCCCTCCCTCTCTCTTTCATCCTTCCTCCTTCC